CCGGGAAGTCCCCAGACCTCTACCCTCACCAGCTTTCGCATGAGCCTCTCTTTAACCTGGGGAGATGAGTACAGTAGCCGTCTTCTGAGATCTAAGCCATCTAATGGGGGAGAGGCCACAGGTTTGTGTGGATTCCGAGTTAGAGAGAGGTAGGCTGGGCTCACAAGTTAGGAAGAGGTTATCCAGCCACCAGGGGCAGTGAGGTAGTGAGCCTCCTGCCACGGCAGGCGTGCAAGGCAGAGCTGGCCCAACCTGCTAAGGAGACTGCTGTGGGTCCAGGGTGACCCCAAGATCTCCTCCCAGTCAAACACTTTCTGGTGCCAATTCCTTCACCTGCACAGGCGTTAGAAGTGTTTATTCACTCGACAAGCCAAATTCGTGGGAGTGGGGGGTACACCAAGGAACAGCCTCCAAGGAGAGTCCAGCAAAACAGCCTCCGCGCTGCCCCTGCGGTGCCCTGTGGGCGCACACTGGGTCCAGGTGGGGACACGGATGTTGGTGGAGGAGAGACAAGGGAGGGCGGGCTGTGGAGAGCACCCGCGGCCAGGGCGGGCGGGGGCAGCAGTGGCCAAGGGGAGCCTGTGAGGAGGGCCCCGCCCGGCGGCGGTGCTGGGGCCTGGGCCTGGCCTCCGCCTGCCGAGACGGGGCGCTGGCAGCTCTGCACGTGCTGGGAGTAGTTCACGAGGGCCTGGGGTGGTGGGAACACCCACAAGTACCCCTGTCCCAGAGCTTGGGCAGGCTCGGTGCCGACTCAGCGTCCCTGGCCTCCCTGCTGGCTGCACCCCGGTGACATTCAGGTCCAGCTCGTCCGGACAGGGCCCCCGGGAGGCCAGCACAGAGGCAGAGGGCACCCGGCCAGGTCCTAGGAACCCTGGGAGGCAGCATGCGGGGCTACAGCGGGGTATCCGTGGGGACCACCTTGACCCCGCTCAGCTTAGAACGCCACGGCCGCAGCCTCGAGGAGCTCAGAAAATCCGTGTCTCCGGGCATCTGAGCAGGCTAGCTCACGGCTTGCACCCCACCTCCACCTGGCACCTGCCTGCGCCTCCAGGCCTCATCAGGTACTACCTCTCCAGGTGGGTCCCTCAGCCAGGCCAGGAGCTCCGGGCTGGGGATGGGCTCAGGGCTGCCTGGCTTCTCAGCGCCTGCGGCGGGGCGCCCCTTCCAGGAGGCTGTGGGAGTGTGGGGGTGGCACGCACCCTCCGTACCTGGTTGACAGTGAGTGTTAGTTACTCAGTCAGGTCTGACTCCTTGCAACTCCATAGACTAGAACCCCAGCTGCTATATCCATGGAATTCTCCAGGCAACAATATTGGGAGTGAGTAGCCATTTCCTTCTCCAGGGGATCTTCCTGACCCAGGGAGGGAACCCGGGTCTCCTGCACTTCAGGCAGATTCTTTATCATCTGAGCCACCAGGGAAGCCCTTGGTCAAATACCTCTGTATTAGAACGGCGCCCTGATTGTGCCCTCGTTCTGGCCCTCACGGGGCATCAGAACTGGCTCTGGGCAGAGCTCACAGCCGCTGAGGGCAGGCGGCCTCGGGCGCCCTGCCACCTTGGCCGATGAGGATGCAGCCCCGAGTGCCGGGCGCCCAGCCCTCCCTGGCTGCCGCCCATGTGGTGTGAGCTCCACTGGACGGGAAGAGGTCCCCAAATTAATTAACACATTTGAGGCAAGACTCTCTTGGCTCCACAGACAGGCGCTGACACCCAGGGCGGGGCTGCTCCGCTGGGTTTTTCCTCTCCCCTCCCCTCTGCGCTGGGCCTCCCTGCCAACACGCTGTGGCCCACGTCACTCCACCCCAGGACCGCGGCGGGCTGTCGGCTGTGTCCTTCTCGCCAACTCCCCACTGTTCCATCGTCACCAGCCTGAGGGCCAAGCCATCCCGAGGCCCTGCCTGTCGCCTTCCTCCCAGCCAGTGTTTCCTCCTAGGGAGGCTTTCCCAAAGGCTGGGCCTGACACCGAAGCCCCCAAGGCCTGCTGTCGGACGCACAGCCCACGCAGACAAGGCAGGTGGGGGAAGGCCGGTCAGGTGCCTCGGTGGCAGGCGCTGCTCCTGACTGCTCTGCTGAAGGGCAGGGCTCAGCGGGGAGTTAGGGTCGGAACACCTGGGTTCCTGAGGAATGGTGGGGCCAGAACAGACCATCACAGCCTCGCGGGGTCTCAATTTCCTCATCTGCAAAGTGGGGCCAATAATCCGTATAACTATGGATTCTGGTCCAGCCCGTGACTTTACAAGAACCTTCCAGGAAGCCGTGGCGCTTCCATCAATATGCCTTTTCCCAAATTAGACCTCCTTCCTTGGAAAGTCTAGTCTCATGGCAACTTTTCTCCTTGGAGTATGACACCCACGGACCACCCCGGGTCAGGAATGAAAGGGGCCCTCTGGCAAAGAGACTGGCACCCATTAGCAGAGTGCCCGGTTGGGACGGCTGGAGAAGTGATGCACAGGAGGGGATTTCTGAAGACACGTTTGCCGGAGCCAGACCGGGTGCGCCCAGATTCTTCCCCTTCCTAACTGCAGGCTGGGCAGCAGACCCTGCCCAGGGCAGGACAGCCCTGTTCAGGCTGGTCGGCCCCCCACAACGCCCCACGACAGCCCCCATTCCACACCCCGGCGCTTCTCCCAAAGTGCTGAGGGAACTCCATGCTCTGGGAAACATTTCTGGAAGAATTTAGAACCCAGACATTTTTCAACCAAACCTTTGAGAAATCCAGACCACTTCCAAAGCCGACTGACTTTGAAACCTGACACTTTAAATCCACTTTTCGAATTTGTGCCCCAAAGTTTTGAAACCAAAATATTCTGGAAACCTCCTGGAAGCAAGATACTCTGGGAGAAAACCAACTGAAATGGCAAAACTGTTTCATCTGGATTGTTTTTAAGCCCCCAGTTTCTGTAAAGGGCTTTGAAGTAAGAGTGGTTTTGTCAAAGCCAGAGTTTCCGCTAGAATTTCCCTGGGAAGAAGCTCAGATGTTTGGACTGAGCCCACAGAAGTGCTTGCTTGTTCCCTAAGGACACTCATCGCGCTGCAAACAGGGGTGGTGTCCAGATCTCGGGAGGAGTCTACGGCCATACCACCCTGAACGCGCCCGATCTCGTCAGATCTCGGGAGGAGTCTTGGATCCCTCACTTCACACACTTCTTTCTCAAACTCTCCACCCAGCAATCTGCTGCCTGATGCCGCTGCCCTCCAGCGACTGGGGTGGAAAAATCCATCCCCGAATCACGGCTCAGCCCGTGTCTCCGCCAGCCCGCAGCTCTTCCCTTCTGGTGTCCAGGGGGCTGTTCGGCCTCAGAGCTGGATGAAGGGACACAAAGTACCGGTGGCCAGTGACCGTGGGGCCCAGGTGGGCAAGGTGGGGACTGTGCATGGATGAGTGCTTTGAAATCCCATCTCCCCACCCTCCAATCTCTCGCTGGACTTCTCTTCACCATTTTCACTTCTCCGACAGGCCCAGTGAACACCGCTGTGCCCTGGGTCTGGGGGGGGTGCGCCGGGCCACGTGGAGGCCGTGCTGGCGAGGGTGGAGGTGTGCGGGCTGGGGTTTGAACTTCACTCTTCCCCTGTTTTGGATGGGGCTGGAGCTGACCCTCTGTGTTCCCAGTCTGTAGATCCTCTTGCTCCGGGCACCGCTGCTGACCGTCGGGCCGGCACTGTGCCCCTGCCCCTCCGAGGGAGTTTTCTCCCTTCAGAGGCAGCGCCGCCCCACTCAAGCTCACACCTGGCTGAAGTGTGCGCAGTCCCCACCGCAGCAGGGGCGTTCTGAAGGCCCAGAGACCTAAGCTGTACTTCTCAGCTATACTCTCCAGGCACAGCACACGTGTTCACAGTCCTGCCAGCCTCCTACCAGGACTGCAAGCTCACACACTCAAAATCTGTCAAGTGCAGATGCAGGAAGACAGGCCGTGTTTGCCCATCACCGACAAAAGTCACCCAGCAGATCCTGGTCCGCGGGCGTGATGGTGCCATCACCACGAGCAGATGCCCTCCGGGTGGTGACCAGGACCGCCAGGTGGAATCACCTCCGGCAGGCCTGACGGATGAAATCTGGTTCTCATCTAAAGCATGAAAGCAAAGGCAGGGACAAGTGCAAACCAGGGGTCTTCTTCATTAGCATCACCTCCAGATGATGCAAGACGAAATAATTCCCCAAAGAAAATACCCCAGGCTTCCTTTTTCACATGGATCACCTAATCAGGGAGCTTCCCCACTGCCTCAGTGGTAAAGAACCTGCCCGCCAAGCAGGAGACCCGAGTTTGATCCCTGGGTAGGGAAGATCCCATGGAGAAGGGAATGGCAACCCACTCCAGTGTTCTTGCCTGGAGAATTCTATGGACAGAGGAGCCTGGCGGTCCATGGGGTCGCAAAGAGTCGGACACGCCTGAGCGACTAAACAACAAGAGAGCTTTCACTTTTGGAGGGTGTGCTGCCCTTGCACAAATACAGGAAGGCCGGATCTTAAACTTAAGGTCCTCCTTTTTGCTGAAGACAACCAGGAACCCTCCCTTCCTGAAATCGAGGCCCTGAGGCCTAAGCGTGGGCCACAGCATTGCTCAGGGCCCCTCGTGAGCGTGCTGCCCCACCGGAAGAACCACAGTGCAGGCGGCAGGAGCAGGTATACCCTTTTACTCCACCACTTCCTTCTCCACTTTTCATATTAAATATCTGAAATATATTAATCTTAAAAAAACAATATCAACACAGTACTCAATGAATACAGGGAAGCAGTAAACAGTAAGTCTAGCCTGCAAAACCATAGGTTATTTTACAAACTGGAGTGTGGGTGTGATCAGTTCCAGGTGTTTCCAGCGGGCTCGTCAACCAAGCACTGTGGAATTCACACCAGGAGAGAAACGAAGCCATAAAAAAATATATGTGGCAGGCCAGTGCTCCATCCTCTGGAAGATGGTCGCGGTACCACCGGCCCTTCCTTCAGGTTGAAAGGAACAACACGAGCACTTTTTTTGTTGGTGTTCGGATCTCCCCCAGCGCCTTCAGTCTCTAAGCAGATTTTCAGGTTTGGGGTAGCCGAAGAGAACAAAGTCCGCTTCGTAGAGTTTGTATAGCTGCTGCCTCCAGGCCAGGGGGATTTTGGCAAACCAGCCTTCCTCCCAGCTGCGGGCAGTCCTGTTGCGGTAGCTCGGGGGGAACTGCAGCAGCCGGTCCACCTTGAGGAGCCGCAGCAGCTGGGCGGCGTCCTGGTCCAGCGTCTCCAGCTTGCCCACGAAGTCGTAGTCGATCTGGCAGGGGTGGCAGAGGCGGTGCACCTGCCGCCAGTGCTCGTTGAAGGGCGCCCGCTCCTCCGTATGCGGGTCCAGCAGGTACTGCACGAAGTTGGCGAAGGACACCCTGAGCCCGGCGCTGAAGGCCTCGCTGACCGAGGCGGGCGGGCGGCTGTGGTTGGAGTACATCCTCAGCATGGGCACGGCGAACTTCTGGTAGAACTCCTCGTTCTCCAGCTCGAACTTGCTGCGGAAAGCCGAGATGAGGCGGACGAAGGGGTCGCGTACGAACAGGAACTTGGTGTACTTCTTCAGTTTAATCTTCATGAGGTGCCTGGAGAACTTCCCGTAGCGGCGCCAGAACTTGTTGAAGGTCAGGTGGGTGCTGGAGTTGTGGACGTACTCCCGCGGGATGTCCAGGGGGTCGCGGTAGGGCGTGCCCTGGTCCGAGAGGCTCTGGCTCAGGACGATCATCACGCGCTTCCAGTTGGTGCAGGCCACCTTGGGCACGTAGCAGTAGATGACCCCGTGGCGGTCGTCCACGATGAGATGGTTCAGCTCGTAGTTGGGGATGTCGTCGAAGGAGCGCTCCTTGGTGGGAAACACGAAGCTGGCGTTGGCGCAGAACTCCCTCAGCACGCTCCTCCGCTCGGCCTGCCGCCCGTCCGGGTCCGGACTCTGCTGGGCAGTGTGGCTGGACCAGTCGTAGCCCCTCACGCTCTCCTCCAGGTTGCCGAGCACAGGCTTGCTGGAGGCCGGCAGGGAGGGCTGCTCCATCCTTTTGCCCAAAATGGGGCGCTGCTTCTCCCTGACGAAGCTCTCCCAAATCTCGAGGCTGGAGGTGAAGACGTCCCCGGGCGCTGAATTGGGGCTGGGGAAGGGCTTCAGCACGTGCGGCCTGGAGAGGGATGTGTGCAGGTTGAAGTGGGCAGGGCCCATGTTGTCCCAGTACACAATGATCAGGAGGATCATGAACACGGACCCCAGGACCAGCCACAGGCGGAAGAGCCGGCTTTTGGTCATCGTGTCCATGGATGCAGGGGCCTTTCCCTGGACCCTTTCACTTCCGCTTCCAGTAGAGACAAGACGCCGTGCTCTGAGGAAGCTGGAAGACAACAGAGGCCAAGTGAACGATTAAGGTCCTCTCCCAGCCTGCAGCCCAGATAGGAGGGGTCTGCTTCTCCACCTCTTCACCCTCTGTGAGCTGAGTTTTGTGGGGGGCCTGGTGGGGGGTGTCAGCTTCCCCATGTGATGTGACCCCCTTGCCCCACCCCAAGCCCCTTCTGCTGCGGTCACATCATCCAAACGGACACATAAGCTGGGCCCTGTGAGAGGCAGACGGAGCGCGTGACCTGGGCAGGCTTCTGCCGGGGCTCAGCCTTCACCCCCACAGCACGGGCGGATGCTGGGGCCACCGGGAGCGGGGCTGCTCAGGAGGGAAGCCAGGTGTGTGCTGCGGCTTCAGCTCTGTGGAGGGCTGTCACATGGCAGAGGGAGCAACTTCAGAAGAGGAAACCAGAAACCGAGTCAAGCCCAAGGACAGAGCACCTTAACAACCGTACGTGGGCCCAGACCCAGAGCGGGCGGCTTTCTAAGCCGTCCAGGACTTCTCTCACTGCGGACACCGGGCACAGAGGGATGGAGCTCATCCTGGGAAGTCCAAAGGAGAGTCCCATGCTGAGCACACTCTGGGACAACTCCCAGTGTGCACCTCTGAGTCTACATTTCTAGTAGACTACGCACCTGGTATCCAACACATTTTCATTAGGCAGAAATTTGAGGACAATCTATTCAGCTATGCAGCTTTTGTTTACCCTTAGTTCACTTTTTAAATGGAAAAGTGATACATGCTCATGGTAAAGACATCAGCAGACTGTGGGGCTGGAGAAGACTCTCAAGTGTCCCTTGGACAGCAAGGAGATCCAACCAGTCCATCCTAAAGGAGATCAACCCTGAATATTCCTCAGAAGAGCTGATGCTGAAGCTAAAGCTCCAATACTTTGGCCACCTGATGGGAAGAACTGACGCACTGGAAAAGATCTTGATGCTGGGAAAGACTGAGGGCAGGAAGAGAAGGGGGTGACGCAGGATGAGATGGTTGGATGGCATCCCCGACTCAATGGACATGAATTTGAGCAAACTCTGGGATACAGTGAAGGACAGGGAAGCCTGGCGTGCTGCAGCCCACGGGGTTGCAAAGAGTTGGACAAAACTTGGCGACTGAGCAGCAACATATAACTACTGCCCATCATACAGGTAATAGGCACAGCACAAACGCCGTGAAGCGGGGCTGCAGGCGAGACGCCGTGCTGTGTCCTGCACAGCTGCTGCTGGGACTGTAGCTGGCTCCCGTCGAGTGGGCATGAGTGAGACAAGAAGCAACGCTGCAATAGCCTTCAATGCCCTTTCAGTGGTGATGGTTATAATCACATACTTCTACAGCCTATTTTTAAAGCTAGATCATAAGTACCCATGTCACTGGAGTTTTCAAGACCACCCCTTCTCAAGGATGTGCCAGGATGAACAGTTTATAAAGATGAAGATGAAACCATATTAAAAAAAAAAATGTTTGCTACAGGCTGAGAAAGCAGCAAAGGGAAAAACTAACTTAAGATGTCAGGTGATTTAAGAGACCAGTTTTCACTTTTAATATTAAGACCAACAAACAGAATAGAGGTGATGCTGAGCCACAGGCACATCTTGTGGACACAGGCACAGATAAGCCACATGTTTATAATGCAAAGAACCACCTGGCCTGATGACCTAAATGCTTTACTTTTCAACCAAGAAGTAGTATATGCACATTAATAAATGCCAGTGTCTAAACTCTGACTCTCTTTACTAATAATTGCAAGGAAAAGACACAATCATAGTCACAGAAAAGACAAATACTGTATTTGCACTTACATGAGGTTCCTAAAGGACTCAAGATTCATAGAGACAGAAAGTAGAAGAGCCAGGGCCAGGGGCAGGGCTGGGGCTGGGGAGTCAGTGTTCAGTGGGCACAGAGTCTGAGTCTTGGATGATGAAGTCAGTTCTCACAACGGATGGTGGTGATGGCTGCACAAGAACATGAATGTGCTTAATGTCACCGAGCTGTGCACTTAAACATGGCCAAGGTGGTAAGTTTCATGTTATGTGTATTTTACCACAAAGAAAACATTGGAGGAAGAAAAATGAATTAGAGCTGTAACAGTCGACTTGTGGAGGAATTTCCAAGAGGTAATGCTGCATGAATAAGGCAAATGTCGGACAGTGGGTAAAACTAAAGCAAGGCCTAAATGTAGTAGTGAGCTGTCAGAGGCTGACCTCGGAGCCTGCTGTTGGAGCCACAAGTTACTTGTACAGTGCAAAAGCTCCACAGGTGACTCTACCTGCAACCTGTTGATTAAGCAAACACTAAAGTTTTAGAAATTTATAATTGGGGGTTATTGCACAAAAACAGGACAGGTCTTCCCCTTGGGACAGTGGAAACCCTGCGCCTGGTTACTCACTGGTGAGACTGGTCCAGGAGCCTTGTCTCGCCCCGGAGTCCTGCCACGTCACAGCCCCTTGCAGCCCTTCTACACCACAGGGCTGCGTGCCTATACACCAAGTGAGGCAGTGCTGACCCATGAGGCTGAGGCCACGGTTCATTTTTAACATCACCGAACAAGGGCAGTCCTTTGTGTTGTCATCGCTAACCTCAAACAAACCACAAAAGCAGCAGTGGTGGAAACCCGCCGGGCTGTGCCCATTAAATGGCCTGTGAGAGCAGTCCTCTGGGAGGAAGGGCCGTGGCTGCCTTAAAACATGCACGGAGACAAGTACACAGCCTCTTGGAATTGCGACGAGAGGGCGGAGAAGCAAACTGAGTCAAGACTATCACACAGCACTGCCAGCAACAAGCTTTACTTTTCAAAAGGGAGCGGGACATCTGGGAACTCCTGGCCCAGCGGCCTGGGCAGCTCAAGCCGGATAATCCAGGTAACAAGTCCCCATCCTCTGGGGGAGAGAGCAGAATGACGGGGAAAGCCAGGCTGAGAACCGATGTGCACGCTCAGTCACTTCAGTCGTGTCCGACTCTGGGCCACCCGTGGACTGCAGTCTGCCAGGCTCTTCTGTCCATGGGACTCTCCCGGCAAGAATACTGGAGTGGGTTGCCATGCCCTCCTCCAGGGGATCTTCCTGATCCGCATCTCCTGCATCTCCTGCATTGCAGGAGGATTTGCTGAGCCACTGGGGAAGCCCGCTGAGAACCAGGGACTGCTTCAAACACATGTCAGGGAACAACAGTGACCACATAAAGTAATTTCTCATTCATAAAATAAGGGCATTATTTCTGAACATAAACCTCCCAGTATTTCAAAAAGCAGTCAACAAAAAGCCCCACCAGTTTTGAAGCAGAGCAAGAAGAGCCTTCACAGAGGAGAGGCTCCACGTCGGTCTCCAGCTTCTGCCTCCAGCAACAGGACCAACAGCAAACTTGAGCTGGAAGTCCCATCCCTGGAGGGCCGGTTTTCTACTAAAGCAGAACACTGTGGCGAGGTAGAGAGTTTCTGGGCCCAAGGGGGGGCTGTTAAACATTTCTGCTCACACAGGGCAGGGTGTGATGCCAGAGCAGACGCGGCCACCCCTGGAGGCAAGCACCCCAAGCAAGCTGGCTGCCCACCTACGGCTGCTGGTCTGAAGGAGCCGTCGTGCCAATGACAGAAGGAGTCCGGGAAGATGCGGCGGTCCGTGGCCAGAGCTGAGCGCCGACCTCCCTCACACTCAGGAGCGTGTCACCCCAAAACCTCTGAAAGCAAGGGCCACGTGGCCAGACCCACATTCAGACACATGTAAGGGCGTTTCCCACAATTTAATGGCAGAACAATACAGGAAGGTCCAGCGGGGTGTGCTAATTTCACACGTCAACTTGACTGAGCTATGGCTGCACAGGTAGTTGGTCCCACACGCTGGCGTGTCTGTGAGGGTGATTCTGCATGAGATTCATGTTTGAATCAGTAGGCTGAGTAAGGCAGATGCCCTCCCCAGAGTAGGTTAGCCTCACCCACTTTGGTGAAAGCCTGAATAAAACAAAAAGGCAAGGGAAGAGAGAACTCCCTCTCTCCACCTGACTGTCTTTGAGCTGGAGCATTGGTTTCCTGCCTTCAGACTCGGACAAATGCGGGAACCCTCACCACTGGCGTTCCTGGCTCTCAGGTCTTCAGACTCAGACTGGAACACACCAGCGGCTCCCTGGGTCTGAACGCCTCAGCCTCCATACCATGGGAGCCAATTCCTTGTGATAAATACACACGCAGACACACACACACCCCTTACGGGGGTTCTGTTTCTCTGGAGAGCCCTCACTGATATATGAATATTTATTTTGTCATTTGGACTGGGGTTTGTGGGCCTGTGTGTGTTTGTGTCTTTACTACATATTATAGACACAAATGATCAAACCAGTGAGAATTAAACAGTGAGTGGTAATAAATGGAAATTAATGGATCTGGTGTTGTGGAAAGGAATGTTAAATGCAGAGAATTTCAGCCAGTGTAGAATATCCAATACAAGTATTCCAGAGGGAGACGCTGAGATTGTGTTTTTCCCCCTATAGATATCTTGCTATTCCAGCACCTGATTTGTTTAAAAGACTGTTCTTTCCTGGTTAAATCACATTAGCACCTCTGCTTTTTTTTCCCTAAGTGAAGATTACTGAGGTATGATTTATACACAATAAAATGCATTCTTTTAAACTGCACAGTCTGATGAGTCTGGGCAAATGAACAGTGTTAAAGACACAGAACATTCCCATCATCCCCCAAAGTTCCTGCACCCTCCCCAATATCCAGCTCCAGGCAGTTGCCAATCTGTTATCTTCCCTGTGGTCCTGCCTCTTCTTAGAATGTCACAGAAATGGAATTACACAGGAAGCAGGTGCTTGTACTTGGTTTCCTTCACTTAACAAGATACTTCTCAGACTTCTCTAAGATGTTGCTTGTGTCATGGCTGAACAGTACCTGCTATATGGATAAACCACTACCTGTTTATCCATTTAACAACTGACGAACTTTGGAGTTAGTTCTCTATTTTGGTTATTATGAAAAAAATTGATACCAACTTTTTTTGCATACAGACCAGTTTTTTTTAATGCTGAAACATTAAAAAAAGTAAAAAAGATTGTATTTAAAAATATCAAGCTGATTTTTCACTTCCTGGAAGGTTCTATAAGATCCATAACAGCAGATGTTCTAGAATTAAGCTTAGGGATTCTATTTAAAGATGAATTAAACTGACCATCAAAATATGATATATGAATCTTAGATTATCATTTTTCAATTATAAAATTTTACAGGCTAAGTGATTAGAGCAAGTTTGTGGGACACAAGGTTAATATACAAAAGTTAACCATTTTCCTATATATCAGCAATGAACAAGTGGAATTTGAAATTGAAAACACAATCCCATTTATTAGCACCTTCCCAAAATAAAATACTTAGGTTTAAATTTAATATGTACAAGGTCTCTATGAGGAAAACTGAAAAATTCTGATGAATGAAATCATCAGAAGAACTAAATAAATGAAGAGATATTCTATGAGCAAATTGCTAAGGATAAGAAGACTCAATATTGTCAAGATGTCAGTTCTTCCCAGCTCCATCTACAGATTAATCCCAACCAAAATCCCAGCAAATTCTTTGTGGACATCAACAAACTCTTCCTAAAGTTTGTAGGTGGAGGCAAAAGACCCAGAGTAGACAACACAATACTGAAGGAGAAGAATAAAGCTGGAAGATTGATGCTATGAGACTTCAAGATTTACCACCAAGCTACAGGAATCAAAATGGTGTAGATTGGGAAAGAATAGAGAAATAGATCAGTGGAACAGCACAGAGAGCCAGAAGCAGACCCCCATATAGCTAACTTATTTTTAACAAAGGAGCAAAGGCAATACAGTGGAACAAGACAGTCTGCAACAAATGGTGCTGGAACAACTGGACATCCACATGTTAAAAAAAAAAAGAAATCTAGACATAGACTTTACACCCCTCACAAAAATTAACTCAAAATGGATAATAGACCTAAATGTAAAATGCAAAACTATTAAAGCTCCTAGAAGAAAACCTAAACGACCTTGCATATGGTGATATCTTTTTAGATATAACACCAAAGACACTATCCATTAATGAAATTACTGTCCACACAAAGATCTGTACAAGAATGTTCATTGTGACTTTATTAAAAATCACTACAAACTGAAAACAACCCGGAGCTCCACCAACAAGTGAAAGAACCAGCAAACCGGTGTGCTCATGCAGGAGAAGACTGTTCAACGACGATGAAGAACGAACGCTGACTCACACACCAGCACACGCAACCACAGATGAGCCCTGCAGATACTGCGCTGAGCTAAAGGGCCCAGACACAAAGAGTACATGCCGCGTGACCTCACTGATCAAGTTTATAAAGGGCAGAGTTGGTAACCGCAATCGCCGACTGCCAAGGGACAGGGGGAAATGTGGGCGAGGGGAGCTCTCTGCTCCACTGTCTGTGAGCGCGGTCACACAGGTGGGCACATCTGTCATGGGAGTTTACACGCAGAATGCATGCACTTTACTGCACGTAAATTATACCTCAATGCCTTTGACTGCAAGGGGGAGAAATGTGAGCGGTCTTATTAATTCAATCTCCAAGAGTTAAAGCTTTTCAGCATAAACTCTATGCAACTAACCAGCTGTCACTTACTTCTGCCATACAGGATAAAAACACCAGCACTGAAGTCCTACACACACATTTAGAGATTGGGAAGAAAAGGACAAGAATTCTGAGGCCCAGTCCAGTCTCTGCTGTGCAGCCTGGGATATTTCTTTAAGTCTGAGTTTTACTTCTTTACCTATAAAACAAGGATAATCAAGGTCTTTCTGCTACTCAGAGCTACTGAGAGGATGAAAATGAGAAAATAATAAATAAATAAATAAATAAAAATTAAAAAAAAAAAGAAAATGAGAAAATATCAGCTAAATGTTTTGTAAAACAGTAAAGCATGTTCTTTAGACTATACCACTGGCCCTACTTATTTTTCTGTTTCATCTGGCTCTCAAATATAACATTATTTTTATTATTAGTCATGCTATCTACCAATATCCAGTTACTAGCAGAGAAGAATGTATGATTTTAATTAACTTTATAATAAAAACAACAGTAGCTAATATGCTTTCCAAAGTGCTGATATAAGGTCTGCATATCTGAAGTTATTTACTCCTCACTGTAATTTTGATAGTTAGGGCAAAATAGCCAGGCAAGCTGCCCAACTGTGAACAGCTACCACTGCTCAAAGCTGCCATTTGACAACTGATTTTAGGGCCTACATTCCCAACTACTACACTCTACCAGCCTCTCAGGAAATACTTAATGTGGAATTAGTTGGTTTTTCTATGCACTCAAATTTTTATCACCTTTATTTCTGAGAGAATTCGCTTCTCCTTGTCCAAATAACCAACTTCTGAGCCTTAAATCAAGTGACATGACCTTCATTAAGAAGTCCAAGAATGTTTCAAATTTTATTTATTTCTGCTACTAGCAAAGAGACCAGAAACTATCTACTTCTTATCCAGCTTTGCAAACACTATATAAGGCAAATAATTCGCCGTGGTTCTCATCACTGCAGTCAACAGAAATCTGGAAAATTTGTTAGTGGAATCAACATTTACTCTCCGCACCCTCTATCACCCAGCCCTACAACTGATGCTCTGGTGCTGAATTAAAACCTCCACTGAAAGGTATATTTCCACTTCACGCCACCAGCACTGGGGGTTTATTTGCTTGTAAAATTACTTCACTTGTATTCAGCTAACCCTGAGAACTAAATCTGACAGCGTATCCAAACAAAAATAAGTAATAAGTAGCCACATTGATGAGAACCAAAGGTTGATGTTCATCCCAGAAGACCTGAACGAACACTGAGCCAAACTTGGCCTTTGAAATAAAGTACCTTCCCACAGAGCTGGCCACAGCACAGACGGCCATCTGCTGACATTGATGTCTTCATCCCCGGAGCCTGAGCCCAAGGAGAGCCTCACAAGTAGTCAGGTTGTTAAGGTAGGCACTCAGGTCCCATATCCCCAAATTAGATTTCAGGTTCTTGGGAGACAGGGATCATGTCTCCCATTTCTTCTGTATTCCTCACAGGAGTCAAATACTTGTTGCAAGGTACCTGACTCTGGAATCCAAATAATAACTCATTTCCCAGAGTTGAGTCAATTCAAAGAAATTATTTCAAGGGAAAATAGATAATAAATTTCACTAAGATTAGCTGAAAAACCTGATTAAAGGCTTTACTTTCTTAATATACGCAGACCCTGACCTTTCTCAGCCAGTTCTCATCTGTGTTACTCCAAGAGCCTCCGACCTGGTCTCCCCACCTCTGCTCTCGTGTCCATATAATGTAGCCATGGTTATTCTGCCAAAAGTGAGATCACGTCATGGCTCTGCTCAAAACTCAATCACTGGGGTCCAATGTCTCCCATTCCCAGTCCTTACGATGGCCTGTGGCAAGCCCT